CAGGCCCTCTGGCATTTCCGGGTTGCGCCCGAACGCGATCTGCAGCACCTTGGCCACGCATTCTCGCCATTCGCCTCGATCCTGCGGCTGGGCCTCGGCGATCACGGCGCGCGGCATCTGGGCGAACCACTGCCCATGCCGCTCCGCCTTCCCGTTCTGCTGCTCGGCCCCACCCGTGGTGTCCAGAACGATCGTCCCGTCCCGCTCCATCGTGCTGGTGAAGATCTGCGAGACGTGGGGCTTCGCCAGGTCGAGGCGGATCCACTTGGGACGCAGGTGCGGCCGCGTCCAGCTGTCCTGGTACAAGCGCAGCAGATCCACGGCCACCTCCTCGTCGCCCCCGTCGAACGGCGTCATGGACTGGAGCGAGGACGTGTCGCGCACGATGTTGAGCGCTTTGAGGGTCTGGTTCGGCATCCAGTCCGGGAGCTCCTTCACGTCCATGCCGATGGACATCGGAAGTGGTTGAGCGATATCGGGAGCCGTTGGGCGCGCCGATTTCGGGTTCGCCTTGACGTCGCACTCGTCGCGGTGAACGTCCGCCGCCATCCTGAGAGCCCCCCCCCCGTTCGCGTCGGCGTGGCGAAGGTGCCCCATCTCGGAGAAGACGACGAGGGTGGGTAGCCCAGGGGCGGGCGTTGCACTTTCGGGGCTCGGCAACAGCAACACTGTCTCGGGCGCCGGAGTGGGGTGGGGGGGGTGCGAGGACTTGAATAGGCGCGCGGCGTCAATGTTCGCGGAGATGGCGCATCGAGCGTTGCGGTAGCATCGGTTCTAACCACATGCATCGGCGCGGGGCGCGAGCCCGATTCCGCGGCTGGCGTCCAACCCCCTGGCCACGATGCCAGCACGCAGTGGGAAGAGAGAGATGGGCACGCACTGCGGCGCGGAGTGGCGAGTCTTGGAAAGATTGGCGTCCAGGGGCTTTGGCCGGGGGCGGCAAAGCCTCGCGGCATCCTCCGTCGTATGCCGTGCAAGGGAAACCGTGGGGGCATCCGGGTCGCGGGGCACGTCGCCAGCGGTCCACGAGGGCCCTCTTCGTCCTCCCAGAACGCAGTGAACACACGCAACGGGAACTCAGTACATGGAACCCCCGGCTGCCTACATGTAACCAAGAGTAGGTACACGCTGCTCCTTTCTAAGTATTCGATAAAAAAATAAAATCGAATGATTCGAACATGCCTTGAGTTCTGGGGGGGCAAGATCCTTTGATTTCTAAGTGTGCCCTCCTGGGCCTCTTCCTGGCCACTAGGGGGCCGGGAACAATTAGAAACGAGCACAATTAGAAATGAGCACGATTAGAAATGAACGACGTGTAACCAAGAATGAGTACATATACACTCTTCTCAACGCCTTCTTCAGCGAGAGACATATTTCTATATGTGATTATACTCCAGAGTTCGGACGTGTCACTCTCAGCATCTTCTGCTCCTGCACTTCATACTTGCACTTGCTGCGACTGCTTAAGGAGAGTATGCGCAGTGCTAAAGCGAGCGCAAGCTTTTCAGACGAATGTGCGCTGCGCCAAGTTGGAAACGATGTGCGTTCTATCATTGTAAATGTTGCCAAGTTCAAGTTTCGGGATCATACACGGGATCATATATAGTGAGCAACTCTCAGGCGATATACCTGGCCAGCCTAGTCTACACGCCTGAAGGTCCGACAAGGAGGGCCTAGATGTAAGGAAAAGGAATCGGTGGACGTGTTAGCGCTTCGGGTTGCGCACACACCCCAGGGAGTCCAGGCTGGCTTCAGAAAGCCCTCCGAGTAGCCCATGGCTGCCTCAAGTTAAATCATGGGCGCCAGTGTAACCCTGTGCCGCCGAGATTAATGCCACAGGGATAATAATAGGGGTTGCGTGGGGATTGTAAATGTTGCCTACCGGAGGCCAGCATGTGGGAGGAGAAAGAGATGATGTTCGAAATAAAGCTTGTTTGAGACATCCTCGAAATAAAACGTGTTTCGCTTGAGACATCATCGACAAGTCTCTCGCTTCGCTTGAGACATCCTCGAAGAACTGTTGGTTCTGCTTGAGACATCCTTGAAAAACTGATCGTTTCGCTTCAGGCTGCCTCCAAAAATTGTTGGTTTTGCTTGAGACATCCTCGACCACGTCTTCGCTTCGTTTGATGTTGCTATCTCAACATAAGAAGGGAGTTGACCTCGATGGTGAACTTTTCACAGTGATAAAAAAGTCCGGCCTCCGCGCCCCGCGCCCCTGACCGAACTCTGATTGGCCGTGGATAATCAACTCTAGCGTGTAAAGGGGGGTCCTTTTTTATCAGCAGCACGGGGTTATTTAGACCGCCCCGCATTCTTTGTAGGGACTATGCGGAGCCCGAAGTCTCATCATAAGGACGGCGACGCCGAGGAGGGCGAGGAGGGAGGCGGTTTGACGTTAGAGAGATCGCCAGAACCGCTGGCCTGAGAGGAGGGAGGGGGCGTCCAGGTTCACTGCGGCGCTGGCGCCAGTTTCGACGCCGAGCGCCGCCACGACCAGGCGGCCGTCAGGAGGAGGAGGAGGAGGACGAGAAGGAGGAGGAGGAGGAGGAGGAGGAGGAGGATAGGGGGAAGGAGGAGGAGAAGGAAGAGGAGGAGAAGGAGGAAAGATAACGAGGACGAGGACTGGGACGAGGACAGAGACGAAGACGAGGAGGAGGAGGAACAGAAGGAGGAGGAGGAGGAGGAGGAGGCAATGGAAATGGAGAAATAGGAGGAGGAGGAAAAGTGGGAGGGCGGAGAAGGCGGAGGAGGAGGAGGAGGAGGGGGAGAAAGAAATGGAGGGGGATGGAGGAGGGGGATGGAGGAGGAGGAGGAGGAGGAGGAGGAGGAGGAGGAGGAGGAGGAGGAGGAGGACGACGAGGAGGAGGAGGAGGAGGAGGATGTGGTGGAGGAGCACGAGGAGGAGGAGGAGCATGGTGAGGAAGAGGAACAGGAGGAGGTGGAGGTGGCTGAGGAGGCGGAGGGACGTCTGGCCCAGGAGAGGAGCCGACGCCAGCGTGGCTACAGGAGGCCGTGCCGATACTGGACAACACCGCCAAGGAAGCAGCTTGGCACAGGCCTCAGCGCGCCTTTCGCATTCGCGCACGAGTGCGCTTTGTTGTGGCCAGAGGCCAACCCCTTCCTGCAGCCCATCCCAGTTCCGCCCTGTACCAATGAGCCACCCGCGAAGACCAGCACAGACGTGCGACTGCCCGTGCGGACGTCACGTCAAGGCACACCACTGGGATTGTCTATGTGGTCGCCGTTGGCAAAATCGAGCGATTCGGCGTGGCCAGGTTCACGAGCGTCGCCGTGCCAGAGTCGCACCAGACGTATCATGCAAGAGGAAGCGCAACAGAAGGAGCTCAAGACGGAAGAGCCGGAGATCAAACCGCTCATTGCGAAGATCGTCGCAATGAAGAGGTCGGATGCCGTCGATGCCATGGGTTTCTTAAATTATGACCAAGCGCCGTCTGAAACCCCCTCTTCATCAAGAGCTGCAAGGCTAAGACCCAAGAAACGCATGTTCGAGATTTGGAAGTTGGTCGCCGTTGCTCGCAAGGCCGGAAAAGAGGGTAAACAGTCGTTAGTTCGAGAGTTGCCGCTTGTGAAATATACGGTGAGCACGTGTGAGAAGTTGAATGACGCCCTATTCGAGTCGTGCCCGTCCCGTCCAACAATATGTGATCCCCACCGCCTAAGCCGCTGCCTACACCCAGACAGTTCCTTACGCCGCCAGCCATCAGCAAGGAAATGAAAGATAGTGGAGGCATGATGCAGCAAGCTAATAATGGCACGCCAACCGTATACGGACCAGCAGCCGGACACGATAACCAAGGCACTGCCATGTGAGGGAGGATCTGTAGGGGGTACAGCCACACCAACCAGAGGCGCTGCTACGCCAATCCCAGACGCTGCAACAGCTAAGCCACCGGCAAGATCAGCGCCGAAGAGTCCGTCGGAGATTCCCAACGCGCAGCCCCGCCCGCTTAAACCCGCGGAGATCGCGTTGAGCCAGATCGTGAACGACCCGCACACCGAGGCCGAGGGCGAGGCCGAAGCGTTGCCAGGTCCAGTTGGCATGCGCTCCCCGTTCTTAGCCCCCAGCCGATGACCCACGCGGAGGACCCCTTCCCACCGCATCATGGAACCCCCTCCTGGAGGCCCTCAAGGGGCCACTGCTGCGGGCCAAAATACGGCCAAGAGGAGCCCGTCCGCGACGCACGCGGGAGATTCACCCACGCGAGAGTCTCGGCGCCACGGCGAGGACGCCGAGTTTTGAGCGTCTCTTTGTGGGAGTGCATTACCCGGGTGTTCAATCCTTGCGATAATACTTGCTCTTCTAGCTGAGCCCCCTCCCCCCCCAGGAAATCAAAGTCGCGCTGGAAAGCTAGAAGCGCCAAAGACGAGAGCACTAGCGAAGACCTAGCAGCTTTTCCAGGGATGCATGCGTTCTTGTCTTCCTCACCCTGCGAATCTCCTCACATTCAGGCTGCGGGTCCGTCCGCGGAGAACCACCGACGTCGACAGAGCCAGGCTTCTAAGGATGACGAGGGGGCGGGCGTGGAGAGGGCGGGCGACATCTCTCACGCCAGCCTCGATCAGTTGCGCATTTTGGAAGCGCGCGTGGGCATGCGCAGCTCGAGAATAACGCATCGCGATGACTTGGGCCATAAGTCCCACGCGCCGAGTTGGCCCCAGCGCGCCTACTCCGCAAGGCGCGAAGCAGCAACAGAGTGCAAGAAGTGTTTCAACGCCCTGCCCTCGAACAACCCTCCTCCTGCGATGCTCCAGCGCCATGTCAGCAAGGGCCCCACCGTTTGGGATCTCTCTCCTCGGCCCTGCCCCACCCATGACCTTGCCCCGGGGCCTTCTTGGACGCCCCGGGGACCTCCCACCTGAGTCGGTCGCGGCCTTGGGCACGTGTCTGCCTCGAGGTTCTGCGTGGTCTGAGGTCGCCCACTTCTCTGACGGCCCCCTCCGTCATGGCCCGGATGAAACGGGCGCATGGGTGCTCGTGAAATTGGGGGGCGATGATACAAGCATCTCATGTCAGGGGACGCGGCCTGCCGCTTTTTCAGACTGACGCCGAGACCGCGGCCGCCACGTGGACCCTCGCTGCCGCCGTCGAAGACCCCGCGCACCCGGCGGCCGCGATCCGCGCGGCCCCCAAGACTGCGCGCGATGGCACACGCGGCCGCGCCACGGTCTCCCCCGCCCCCCGACCTCCCCGCTCGGCCCCTGCCCATACTCCAGGGGCCAGCCATGGGAGTTGCGAGAAGGGGGCGCCAGTCCATCAGGGAGCACCCTCTCGAGCACGGCGCGTCAAAGGCCACGACGGGCACCCGTGGAACTCCTCTGCAGATCACCTCGCGGGCCCGGCCGGCACGAACGTCTGGGGGGCCGCATGTTCTCCCCCCCCCTTTTGTCCAGGCCACTTCCCTGACGCCACCCCGCGAGCGGGAGCGGCTCGAGCTGGCGACTGAGGCCGAGGCACCAGCACACCCATGCGCGACGGACGTCGGACTTCGCGCACCGGCTCTCGCACCAGATGCCACTGACCTGGGCCGCCGACCTACACTTCGCGAGAGTCGCGGCACGCATGCCATTTCAAGCAAGGTTGCCTCTTTCGACGCCAAGAGCGCTGCTGCCGCTATGAGGCGGGGGAGCAAGGGTAACCTTCGGTCTGCGCGGAACCTCGCTTCCGGGAATCTCGCTCATGAGCTTGGATGTGAGTTGCAGGTGATCTCCGTATTTCGATCAGAAACGCTTTCGCGTGACATCCGCCGGCCCCCGTTGGTTTCTGGCAGCGATTGATGGCCTTGGGTTCGCGCATAATTTCCCGGGCGCCTCCCTGTCTGACGTGGGCACCGTCTGGGACGCGATCAGCAAGTTTTTTATTTCGTGGACGTTCGAGATTTCCCTTATTGATGCCAACGGGAGCGCCGGCAACATTACGTCCTCCGCAGTCGGGCTGGCCGGCTCTGCCCAGGACCAGGATTCGGGGGGAGAGAGAGAGAGAGAGAGAGAGAGATCACGTTTGAGCTCTTGCATCAGAGAATCGGGCGATCAACGCCTTGTCAGGAGATCAGGAGGACTGGGCGCGGGAGTCTTCTCGAGGCAAGCGGCATCGGATCGAGTATGTCACAGCGCCCCACTGAATGGCTGACCACGCACGTGCATCCGCTGTGCTTTGTCCACTCGTCAAGCTCTCTCCCCGCGTTGAACACACCCCTGCAGCAGTCGCCTTCGCATGGCAGGTTTAGCAGGTTAGGCGAATTTCGGGCGCGAGACCTCCGGGTAGAAACTCTCTGAGGGACTTCGACAAAATCAGAGTGTTCTAGGAGGAGATTACAGCCTTCCCGCCCGTTCCACGGGAGACCCTCTTTCTCGGCATCACGTCAAAGTTACGTTTGGCATCACTGGCGCCGTTGTTTAGATTTTTGGAGCGGCCCCACGCAGGGCGACGTTTGGCAACACTGGCGACGTTTCTGGTACCTCTTGGGATTAAAGCATTACTAGGCGGGGCGCAATCAGTGTTCTCAAGAAGACCACCAATATCATTTATCAAGATGACAATACTGTCAAGTGTTTTCCCACCAGGTTCCAGTGCCATTGACTCTCAGGTGGTATATACACATATATCTACCCATACGACCGCCCTGCGGGCGATGATGAGGATGGGGGGCATTGGGATCAAATGCCCACCCTGACTGACCTCCAGCCTGTCACCTGGATCTCATCTCTTTCTTTCTCTCTCTCTCTCTCTCTCTCTCTCTCTCTCTCCCGTGGATCGGATTGGGTGGGATAAGATAAGATGGGACAAGATGGGTTGGATAAGATAAGATGGTTTGGATTGGACAAAATGGATTGGATAAGATAAGCTGGATTAGATAAGAAAGCCCGCCGCAGGCGCCGAAGAAATTAATGATGAAATTAGCGACATGGGTTAGCGCCTCGACGCCTGGGACACCCGGGGCACCGCCCGGCCCTTTTGGAACACCTCCCGGCCACCGGCGGACGGGAAACAGATGTTCGATCCTATTGACACCCGGGACACCCGGGACACCGCCCGGCCCAACTGGGGCACCTTCCAGCCACCGGCTGACGGGAACGGATTTTCGCTCCTACTTCGGCCGAGCTACAGGAGGATCACGCGCAGCTTCGCCTCGCCCGCACACACGACACGAACGCGAAACCGAAACCGATTTCCCCGTGGGGGGTCTCCGTTTCACTGCGATCTCACCCCCGAACCTCCGATGCACACAGCTTCGCCTTGCTGCCCGACGCTGTCCACCGGAGACAGTCACGCATCGTTGCGTGCGACTTCGTTGAGGTGGGCCCCGGTAGGCTCGCGCGCGTTTTGCATTGTCGTTTTACGCGCGCCCTTTGTTCTCAGTCGTCGCCCTTGCTCTTTTGTCCCCCCTGGAAACTGACTCGGCCACAGCGGCTTCCATGGAAATTCACAGGTGCAAGAAGTTCAAGTCCATGGCGACGCCCATCCAAGAGGCACGCGAT